TCCTCCTCCTCGTCGTTGTCGCTGCCGAAAATCTCCTCCTGGTCCCGGGCGGCCCGAGCGGCATCGCTGCCCCCCCGGCGGCCCCCCCGGCTGCCTTCGGCTTCTTCCTCCTCATCCTCGCTGTGAGCAGAGCCTCCTCCGCGCTCTGAGCCCGACCCGGAGCCTTCGGCCTCATCCTCCTCGCTCTCGCTGCCCTTCTCCTGCTCCTCATCTGCTTGGAGGGGTTTGGGGGGGTCCTCAGTGGTGTGGGACACACCCCCTCATAGGGGAGGGAATTTGGGGCAGGGAGGGATTCTGGGGGGAGATGGGATTTTAGGGAGGAGGGGGCAAATGTGGCAATGATGTAGGGCAGGGGGATATGAGGAGGGAGGGTTTTGGGTGGGAAATGGAGGAATTTGGGGCCCTTCTCCAAACCTGATCCTGGCGTTTCCTTCTCTGCTTCCATCTCCTCTTCCTCCTCCTCCTCTGGCTCATGGTTCTCCAGCTGCGCCCGCCGGGCCTCCTGTGGAGGGAGAGGAGTCAGGGGGGTTCTGGGGGGGTCAGGAGGGTCGGGACCTCTTCCCAAATCCCACCTGGGCCTCGAGCTCCTTCTCATTCATGTCCCGGTGCTTGACCACCAGCACAGCGTTGGTGCCCGACTGGACCCCGGCACGTGCCCGGCGCTTGCTCAGCCGGACCCTGGTGGGGGCAGGAGGGGTCAGGGACACCAAGGGACACCCTCAGATCCTCAGAGACCCCCCCCCAAACCCCGAGGGACACCCTCAGAATCGCAGTGACATCCCAAGACACTCAGGGATATCCCCAGGGATGCCCCCACAGCTCCTGCACAGCCCCAGGACCCCTCCTGAGACCCTTGGGACATGCCCAGGAACATCCCTCAGAGACCCAAATCCCTCCGAGAACCGCCCCCAGACCTTCATGGGAATTTTCAGGACCCCAATGACACTCCCAAGAGCCCTCTGAACCCCCAATCAGTGCCCCCAGAACTGACTGGAAAAACCTCCCAGCAGCCCGAACAGCAACTTGGGGAAGGTTCCCAGTGCCCCCCACTCCCACCTGGTCTCCAGCTCATTGTAGTAGACGCCATCGCCCTCTCGGAAAATAAAGAAATAATTCTCCTCGTAGCCCTTGCTGGCCTTGTTCTTCACGTTCCAGTTGTACTCCCGGGCGATCTTGTAGTCATACCTGAGGGGCCACAGGAGGGGATCGGGGAGGGGCCAGAGGACCTCCTAAAAAATCCCCAAATTCTAGTTTTCTCCACCAAAACCTCCGCACACTTTGGGAGTGTTGGGTTCATTTTTTACAACTATTAGGGACCCCCCCAACTCTGTCCAAAAACCCCCAGGGCTAGAGGAAACCCCCTCCAATCTCAGGAGGGGATCCTCTTGTCTTAGGGACTCCCCTTCCAATCTCAAATTCCAGTTTTTCCCCTGAAAACCTCCTTCAGTTTTTGGAGCATTGGTTTCTTTCTTTGAGAGTATTTGGGACACCAGAACTCCCCCCAAAGCACCCCAGGGGCTGTAGGGGACCCCCTCCCCCCAATCTCAAGGACCTTCCAAATTCACATTTCCTCCTCAAATCTCTGCAGAATCTGTTGGATGTTCTTTACTGCACAGGAAATTCCAGAACCCTGACAGAGACAGACACCCCCAGCCTCTTTTTTTTTAAGATTCCCTCCAAGTTTTGGGGACTGGCCCAGGTTTTTGGGACCTCCCTTACACATCCTCAGGGGCGTAATCCACGTCCTCCTCCTGGTCCCTCTTCCGCTTCCGCAGTGTTTCCTCCACGGGCAGGAAATAGGCCACGAACTGGTTCCCCTCCTCATCCATCATCCCCCTGCAGGGATGGGGGTGTCAGGAGGGGATCTGGGGGGAGAGTTGGGGTCCCAGGGGGGTTTTGGGGTGCTTGGCACCTGATCATGGCCTGGGACATCATTTCCAGAGCYGCCACTCCCGACGTGTCCTTGGGGGCCGGGTCCGAGTCGAAAATCACTTGGGCACAGGGGTTGATCCACATCTAGACAGAGAAAAATGGGGGTTTGAGGATGGGGGGGAGGAAACTAATGGGGGTTGAGGGGAAAAAAGGGGGGATTTGGGGCAGGAGAGGAAATGGGGTAAAAAATTGGAGTTTTTGGAGGAAAAAGGGAGTGGAGGGGGGGGGGGCCAAGTTCCTCCCCAGGGGGGTTCCACCCCCCCTCACCTTGAAGTCGGGGAACACCGGCATCACCTCCAGGGGGGTCACCCGGGGCTTGCTGTAGTGCTGCGTGATCTGGGGGGGAAGGGGGCTCAGGTAAACCCCAAGACCCCACAACCTGCCCAGAATCAGTCTGACAAAAAACAGCCCCAGGAACACCCAAAATCCTCCCCAAAGCTCTCCAAAACCACCTCCAAACCTCCCAAAGTCAGCCCCCAAAACTCTCCAAAACTGCCCCCTAAGTCAGCCCCCAAACACACCAAAACTCTCCTCATAAACCCCTCCAAAAAGCCCAAAGCCCCCAAACTCCTGACCGCTTTCTGGGCGTCCTCGAAGGTTTTCTCGATGGCTGCGATTTGACTGTCCCTGTCCTTGTAAATCTCCTCCTCTGTGAACTGCTGCTTCACCGACACCCCGATCCTGCCAAATCACCCCAGAATCACCCCAAATCCCCCAAAAATGCTCCCAAAACCATCCTGGAACCACTCCCCATAATTATCTTAAACTAAACCCAAAAATTACCCCAAACATGCCCACAAAATCACTCTCAAACACCCCAAAAATGCATCCCATAATCAACCTCCAAATCACCCTCAAACCGCCCCCCAACCCTCTCCAGTGGTTTCCCCAAACCCTACAAAAATGCCAAATCACTCACTTGACCTCAGGTTTCTCATTGGACACCCCATAACGGTTGAATTCGGTGGAGATGTACTCGGTTTTACGCATCCAGGGCACCACCTTGGCATGCTGCTGTGACCTGGGGTGACCCCACAAGATTTGGGGACCCCCTCGAGGAGTCCGTGGGGTCAGGGAAAGCCCCCAGGTGGGGTTTTGGGTGCCCCATTTGGGGTTTTACCTCTTGGAGCTTGTGGGGGCCTGGATCTCCTCCTCCAACAGCTTCTCATCCGCAGGGTCCAGAAGAACTAAAATGAGGAGATTTTGGGGAAATCCACCCCAAAATTGGGGTAATCCCATAAGATTTGGGGTCATCCCACAGAATTTGGGGAGTTTTCTGTGATTTAGAGGGTCATGGTTGTTTTGAAGCAGCCCCACACCTGGGGAACCCCAAAAATCACCCTCCCGAGAGAACCAACCCTGAGATTGGGGGCGGGTTTGGGGGAGACTTCAGGAGGCTTTGACATGATTTTTAGGGTGGGCTTGGGGGTAACTTGGGGGTGGTTTTGGGTGATTTTGAAGAGGTCTGGGGATAGTTCAGAGAGTGTTTTTGTGGTGATTTTGGGGTCCCCACTCCACACTCACCCCCAGGGTCGATCCGATAGGTGTCGGGGTTGATGAGGTCGATGGTGACGCCCAAGTCCGGCTCTGTCAGGAGGTCGTGCTTGTGCTGCTTCTCCAGGGACGTGGCTTTGTACTGCACAAACCTGGGGGGCCAAAATGGCCCCATAACCTCCAAAATCAGCCCAAACCCCACCAAAATCAGCCCCCAAACCCCCATAAATCAGCACTAAAACAGCCCAAAATCAACTGCAAAACCACCCTGAAATCAGCCCCAAAACCATCCTGACATTATCCCAAAACCACCCCAAAATCAGCCTCAAATCCACCCCAAAATCAAGCCCCAAACCCCTTCCCAAATCCTCCCTCTGACTCCTCCCATGCTCAGAGCGGGGGTCGGGGGCTGTGACCGAGAACCCCTCACAGCTCCTGCCATTCCTTTTGGGGACACTGCCCCCCATGTGGGGCCTCCAGACCTGCTCTGGTCGAAGGGGTACGTGATGAACTTGGGGTCGAAGGGGATGTCAGGGAGGCTGTTGCAGAACTTGACTCTACAAACGACCCCAGACCTGCGGAAAAGTGGGGATCAGGAGGACCCCTGAAGTGGAAGGGGGGGTTCCAAAAGCCCCGGAATTCGCCCCCGAAACGGGGCGGGGGCCCCCCGAGAAGCCCCTCCTACTCACCGCCCCACTCACCTCTCGGGGAGGGTCCGGTGAGAGCTGGGCCTGTGGGGAGGGGGGGCGCGTCATGACGTCACCGCGGACCCCCGAACGGTTCAGTGACGTCACCGAGGGAACCCCGTTATTTACCCCCCCACCCCCGCGGGCGGACCCCCCCGTTCGGCGTGACGCATTGTGACGTCACGGAGGTGACGCCACGGCCATTACCGGTGGCCCGGCTCGTCCCGCTGCGCCTGCGTCTGGATGGTGGGCGCCATGGCGAGCGGCTACTGCTGCTTCTGCGCGGCACCTCCCGATGACGTCACTACCGCTACGCGCCGGAAATCACGGACAACATGGCGGCGCCGCCTCCTCCCGCCGGGCCGGGCCCGGGGCCTCCCTCAGCWCCSGCGGGRCCGGGAGSGGCAGCGGGGCCCGGARCGGGRCCGGGAGCGACCCCCGGARCGGCGCAGGGCCCCGCGCTGCCCGTGCAAGCGGCGGCGGCGCAGGCGCAGGATTTCGATCCCGTGCAGCGCTTCCGGCTGCTGCTGCCGCAGCTGAAGGAGAGCCTGCAGGTGGGCGGGGCCTGAGGGTGGGCGGGGCTTGCCGCCGTGGAGGGGCGGGGCATTCCCTCCGTGCTGCGTCTGCCGCAGACAGTAGGCGTGGTTTCCGCCCCAAATGGGCGTGGTCTGCAGAAAGGGGCGGTTCCTTGCAGGGGGTGGTCGGCCCGGAATTTCGGGAATCCCTGAGCCGGGACCGGGAGGGTCTGGGGTCCCCGTGTCCTCGGGGGGGAGGGTGTCTCAGGGTGTCCCCACCCCGCTGTCCCAGTCATCCCCCACTGCTCGGGACACTGGGGGGCCTGGGTGTCCCCCACCCCCCCCAGGTCCTCCTGAACCCCCCCGGCTCCCGCAGACCCTGATGAAAGTGGCGGCTCAGAACCTGGTGCAGAACTCCAGCATCGACAACGGCCAGTAAGTGACCATCGCAATGGTCCCCAGTCCCTCCCAGTGCCCCCCAGTCCCTCCCAATCTCACCAGTTTTCCACAGGAAGAGCACGGATGGGGCCCTGCAGCGCTTTGACAAGAGCCTGGAGGAGTTTTATGCCCTGTGTGACCAACTGGAGCTGTGTCTGGTGAGAGACCCCCAAACCCTTCCAAATGCAGCCCAAATCCTCTCTCAGCCCTCCCAAACACACCCAAATGCCAACATCCCCCAAAACCCCTCCCAAATCCCCACAAGAACCCTCCAAATCTCCTCAAAATGCTCCCATGCCCTTCCCAAATACCCTCCCCGAGTGACATCCCTGTCCCCCCTGGCAGCGCTTGGCCCACGAGTGCCTCTGGCAGAGTTTCGACAGCGCCAAACACGCCCCGGCTTTGGTCCCCGCAGCACCCAAGGGTGAGGGGGGTCCCGGGGCTGAGACCCTGCCCTACACCCAGTACCTGCCCCTGATCAAAGCCCAAATCGCGGGGGCCAAGGACATCCACAACGCCCTGCTGGAGGGCACCAATAAAATCACCGGGAAGCTGCCCCCGCCGGGGGGGCCCTAAGGGGTTTTTTTTTTTTTGGGGGGGGGGGTGAAGGGGGAGGCCCTAAAATGTTGGTGGAGGGGTTTTTTGGGGTGGAGATCGAGGGGGATTTATTGAAATGTTTTTGGAGGGGTTTTTTTTTGGGGTGGAGTCCCTAAAATGTTGTTGGAGGGGATTCAGAGGGGCCTGGGGGGTCCTGAGAGGAGGAACTGAGGGGTTTGTGAGGGGTCGGGGGTGCTCTGAGGGCTCTGGGGGGGTCTTGGAGAGATCTGGGGATGGTCTGAGGGGTCTGGGGGTGCCCTGAGGGGTCTCAGAGGGGTCTGGGGGTGCCCTGAGGGGTCTCAGAGGGGTCTGAGGAGTCTCAGAGGGGTTTTGGGGTCTGACTCCCCCGTTTCCTGGTGGGCAATTGGTTTTGGGGGGATTCTTGGGGGTCTTGGGACCCCAAATTCCTTCCCGGGGAAATGGAGGGAGGTTCAGGGTATTCCTGGGGACTGAGTATGGTACCAGCAGCGCATTTTGCGGGTGAAACCTTCCCCCACGCAAGGGGGAGCATTGGGGAGGGTATTGCTGGATGCTGGATTCACAAATTTTGGGGTAAAACATTTGATTTTTGTTAAATAAATCGGTGTTTTGCGATATCGGCTCTTTTGTGCATGATGTCACGGGGAAAGCGTGGGAAACAGACCCACAACGCGTCCTGGGAGGGGGTGGGTCACGGAGATTCTCCGTTACGTCATGGCCCGGCGCGGGTGACGTCATGCCTCCCTCCCGAAAAAACGCGTTTTGGGCTCCTTGCGCCGCCGTCGGAGGGCAGAAAGTCTCGCGAGAGTAAGGGCGGGAGGTCTCGCGAGAGCCAGCAGAGGGGGCGACGCGGAGCGGCCGCGGTTCGGGAACCGGGACCGGGAAATCGCGACAGAAAATCGCGACAGAGGAGAACCGAGACCGGGAATCGCGACAGAGGCCGGCACCGGGGTCGGGATAGGCGGGGTCGGCGCCGGGAGCGGCACGGCAAGCGACACGGGCGCCGTCAGAGCGAAGCCAGGCCAGGCCGCGGTCTAGAGCGGAGCGGATCCCGCGGGTGAGGGAGGCGGCGGCGGCGAGAAAGCAACGGAATCTATCAGAGCGTCCCTAGACCCCTCGGAGCACCCTCAGAGCACCTTCAGACCCCCCGCGTCTCCCCTCAGGACAGCCTAGATCCTAAAGATCACCCCAAGAATTCTCCAGAAGACCCCCAGACCCTCTGAGACCTCTCAGACCACCCCCGGCCCCCTCCAGCCTCCCGCCAGTTCTCCTCCCAGGACCTTCCAGGCCCCTCAGAACACCCACAAATCCCCCGGCCCGTCTCTGAGATCCCTCTGGACTCTCCCAGATCCCTCCGAGACCACTCCAGCCTCCTCCCGGAACCCCCCGGTGCCCCTCAGCACTCCCAGCCATGTCGGACAGCGAGGACAGCAACTTCTCGGAGGACGAGAGCGAGCGCAGCAGCGACGACGGCGACGACAACGAGGTGAGGCCGAAGGCTCAGGGGGGGCAAATTTGGGGTCTTTTGGGGGGTCCTGACCCCCTCCCGGACCCCCCCTCAGGCTGAAGAGCAGCGCGGGGGGGGCAGCGGGAAGGAGGAGGCGGAGGAAGAGGAGGAGGAGGAGGAAGAAGAGGAGGAGGAAGAGTACGATGAGGAGGAGGAGGAGGAAGACGACGATCGCCCGGCCAAAAAACCGCGGCACGGGGGGTTCATCCTGGATGAGGCCGGTGAGGGAAGGGTTGGGGATTTGGGGGGATTCTGGGGAGGTTCTGGGGGTCTCCAGTTTCCTGACCCCCTCTCCCCATGTGTCCCCCCCAGATGTGGATGATGAGTACGAGGATGAAGATCAGTGGGAGGATGGGGCCGAGGACATTCTGGAGAAAGGTGTGGATTGGGGGGGGCCTTCTCCACCCCAGGGGATTGTGGGGAGGGGGAAGCCGTGGGGGTTCCCCCAAACTGCCTTTCCCCATAACCCTTTTCCCCTAATCCCTTTTTTAATCTCCCAAATCCCCTTTTCTGTCTCCATACCCCCTTTTCCGTAAATTCCTTTTCCCACCAAAACCCCTTTTTCTGTTCCTAAATCCCTTTTACCCTTAAGTCCCTTTTCCCCCATCCCTTTTTCTGGGTGGGGGTCCCTGATGACCCTTCCCCACATCCATCCGTCCATCTCATCTGCTCTCGCCTGGGGCTTTTCAGTTGCTTTTTTTTCCCCCAAAACCCCTGATTTTCCCCCATTCCCTGGTTTTGCTGTTGATTTACTTCATCCTCCACCGTCACCTTGTCCCCGGGCCAGAGGAGATCGAAGGTAAGAACCCCCCCTCCCCCAGTTCTGGGGGTCTCTGGAATTCCCCCCCCCTGCTCCCCCCAATCCTGATCCAAATCTTCCTGTTCTTTTTCTTTCTCAGCTTCCAACATTGACAATGTGGTGCTGGACGAGGATCGCTCGGGAGCGCGGCGGCTCCAGAACCTCTGGAGGTGATCCTGGACCCGCCCCCACGTGTTCTCCTCTGCCTCATTTTCATTCTTTTTCTTCATTCTCCCAATTTTTCTGTCATTTTTCCTGTTTTCCTTAATTTTTCAACAATTATGCTTTATTTTTCACTGTTTTTCTCTCGTTTTTCCATGATTTTCCGTTTTCCTCACCCAGGGACCAGCGGGAGGAGGAGCTGGGCGAGTACTACATGAAGAAATACGCCAAGTCCTCAGTGGGGGAGACGTGAGTGACAACCCCTGTTCCCCCCCACCTGTCACCATTCCTGTCATGACAGGGCAGAGCCCCTCAGCCATGCCCACCCAATTTTCCCTGATTTTGGGATGTTTTCCCCTTTTTCCCAGAGTTTACGGGGGCTCTGATGAGCTGTCGGATGACATCACCCAGCAGCAGCTGCTGCCCGGTGTCAAGTGAGTTTTTGGGTGGGAGAATTGGGAGTTTTGGGTCAGAATTCCTTGGAATGAGAATTTAACTTGGGAAAAAAGGAGGTATTTGGGTCAGATGCCCGTCAGTAACAAGGTTTTGTTGGTCCTCACAGGGACCCCAATCTCTGGACGGTCAAGTGCAAGGTGGGTGTTGGGGGGCACCTAGATCCCATTTTTGTGCCCAAATCTCCCCTTTTTGTGTCCAAAACACCCTTTTTGAGCCTAAATTCTCCTTTTTTTTCCACGAAATCTCACTGTCTTGTGTCCAGATTGGGGAGGAGCGTGCCACGGCTGTCGCTCTCATGCGCAAATTCATCGCTTACCAGTACACAGAGACTGTGAGCACTGGGGACACCGGGGGGACGCTGGGATGGCACTGGGGTGTCACCGATGTCACGCCGCTGTCCCTGCTGTCCCCAGCCTCTCCAGATCAAATCGGTGGTAGCCCCCGAGCACGTSCGTGGCTACCTGTACGTGGAGGCGTACAAACAGACCCACGTCAAGCAGGCCATCGAGGGCGTGGGCAACCTGCGCCTGGGCTACTGGAACCAGCAGATGGTGCCCATCAAAGAGATGACCGACGTGCTCAAGGTGGTCAAGGAGGTGACCAACCTGAAACCCAAGGCCTGGGTCCGGCTCAAGAGGGGCATCTACAAGGACGATATCGCTCAGGTGAGGGGGGGACACGCCTTGGAGGGGAAGGGGACAAGCCTGGGAAGAGTGGAACACATTGGGGGGATAAGAGAACACACCTGGGGGACACCTGAGCTGGGTGGGGACAGCCCCCTGGCCGGCCCAGGGCCCATCTGTGGGCGTGGTCACAGGTGGATTACGTGGAGCCCAGCCAGAACCAGATCTCCCTGAAAATGATCCCCAGGATCGACTTTGACCGAATCAAAGCCCGGATGAGCCTGGTGAGGAGGGGGAATCATCTGGGGTGGGGAGGGGGATCCCTGTGCTTCCGTGGGGCCCAGAAGTGGATCCCCAAAGAGTGGATCCCTGGGGTTGGGCAGATCACCAAGAGTGGGTGGGCAAAGGGATCCCCAGAGTGGATCCCTGAGCAGGTCCCTCCTCTCCCCCCACAGAAGGATTGGTTCGCCAAGCGCAAGAAGTTCAAGCGGCCGCCCCAGCGCCTCTTTGATGCCGAGAAGATCCGGTAGGACCCGATCCCGAGGGATCCCCCAGGATCCACTGACCCTGGGGTGACCCTGAGTGACCCCCACAGGTCCCTGGGTGGGGACGTGGCCTCCGATGGGGATTTTCTGATCTTCGAGGGCAACCGCTACAGCAGGAAAGGCTTCCTGTTCAAGAGCTTCGCCATGTCAGCTGTGGTGAGCCCCAAATCCSCTTYTTCCWYCCCARAATCTRCCTGTGGGAMCYCAAAAYCCACAACTTAGAACTTAAAATCCCRTTTGAACCCCAGATGTTTGTGTTGGAACCCAAAGTCCTTCTGTTCCAGCCCCAGTCCACCAGTTTGGGCCCCAAACACCCCAGTTTGAGCCTGGTTTGGGTCGGGATGGGTCAGTTTGGGGTGAACCGGGGCACTGTGGAATGAACACAAACAGGCCTGTTTAGAGCTCCAAACCCCATTTTTGGGGCAGAAAGGGACATTTTCTGGCCAACCTGTGGGATTTGTTCTCCATCCTAGATCACGGAGGGGGTCAAACCCACCCTGTCCGAGCTGGAGAAATTTGAGGACCAACCCGAGGGTATCGACCTGGAAGTGGTGACTGAGAGCACTGGTGGGGACCTCAATCCCATAACCCCATATCTCACATCCCTGTGTCCCCAAATTTGCAGACTCCCCAAGAACTCCTAAATCCTCTCTAAAATCCTGTAGGAAAAGAACGAGAACACAACTTCCAGCCAGGAGACAATGTGGAGGTGTGCGAGGGGGAGCTCATCAACCTGCAGGGCAAAATCCTCAGCGTGGACGGCAACAAAATCACCATCATGCCCAAGCACGAGGACCTCAAGGTCTGGAAACCATGAAAAAACCCTTTGGGATCCCTTTTTTGGGACTGTAAAATTTGGGCACTTTTTTTGGGCTGTAAAACAGGAATTTGGGGATTTTTTCCCAGGATATGTTGGA